ACTCTTGAGAGAGACTTTTTTATTTTTTTTGTATACTTATGATACTTGCTTTTTATATCTTCATCTTCCAAATATGCCACAGTAATCACTCGAGGTGCTGACTCAGTAACCTCAAGAACACTTCTGCGGAGTGACTATACCTACCCCCCACGTTATTATACCCGGGGCTCACTAGTACCGGTACTTGTGCAAATATGGTGTGAGGCATGCGCTAATGTGGGCGGTTGGACTGCAGCTTTCGGATGTCTCAGTCAGATTCGTACAGCACGCCAAGCTATTTTAAGTTGACCTCGTGCTTTCCCGTACTACAAGTGCAAGGACTTCCGGTACTTTTGCCCCACAGAGGCTGCGATCCTGCATTCTAGATCTTGCAGAAGTGTCCAATGGCGGTTGCCACGGCTCACTCCCAGGGCGGTGTGGGAGTTCGAGTGGTGTCTTATTGCCCGGGGTTCCGCTCCGGTGCATGGCTCAATTTCCTGAGTGAGTGGTCGCTTTCGTGACACAGAGGTCAGACCATACTGTACGAGTACGATAGCGGGGAGGTTATCATCTGGGGTTTAACATCACTGAGGTGCTATCATAAGAGGGGGCCTTTGGGTGCTGTGACAGAGCCTGCTTGAAAACCCCCAAATCATTATGTTTACTAACACCGAAGTGTGGTGAACGGCTATTTTCGCCAGGCAATGATACCAACGAGATCGCCCCGCTGAATGAATAAAAGATAGCTTATGAAAAAACCGTATCACAGCAGTTGAAATTTGCTATGACCTTCCCAGCGTGCCTTAATTCCGGCCGAGTCGGACACAACCTTCCTCGGAAAACGTTTCCCGGGCCAGTTAATGTCAGCGCGTGCCAGCCGCTCACAACCATTGTCTTCACTGCTTGTACTGTAATCCTCTGATGTTTGTAAAAGCAGCCGGGTCCGCATACACCTACGTTTAGTGGATAAGCAAACGCCACCGGTCGTAGCAAGCCATAACCATCAAAAGTTTGGCTGAATTTCTCATTGGTCACAAGTTCCCATTCCTATAGTCCTGTATACAACCTTATTCCGTGATATTCAGAAAAGATACTCCTAAAAAATTCGAAAAACCAGGAATTCGAAGGTAACATTCAGTACCTTTCGAGGTCAGATCTCACACGGTCCGACGAGGTCAGACCCTTTAAAAACTCCCGCACACTTTCTCCTTTCTTTCTCAAAATGGTGCTTATGTTTCGCTTTTTCACAAGCCATAGGCGAGGTGCCCTGGCAGCATATGCGGGCCTAATCGTTTCCACAAACGTCAGGGAATTAAGAGTAGAATATCGAGACATATTGCATCTGACGACGGGACTAGGATCAGGGGATCCAGGCCAATAATAGCAGATTCCGTCGGTGCCTAAGGCACTATAAAGAGAAAGTGTCATCACTACACCAAGCTTAATATCACAAGGGATACCGGTACTCCGTGAGTTTGCAGCAGCGAGAAGTCATAGACAAATCGGGCGAGGGTGGCTCCGGAGAATCGTGTTGGTAATCTGCTCTCGTCTGCCTTGTACTCGTACTTGCACGGTGTGGGTTTCGTTCTCCTGCTACCTGCTGGTGAGTTGTGACCTTATGCTTCTCCATAACAATAGCCGACTGACGCATTTACCAATGATATGAAAGGTCTCGATGTGTTAATACACAACTAGGAAATACTAAGTGAAAGGGGAGAGACCGATGCCGAGCTATCCAGCAAGACCCCATGTATGTGCAGGCCGTCACGACTATAATTCTGGTAATCACATGGTAAGATATCAATAACTAAACATTACCCTAAGCTCTAACTCCATGCTCATCAATTACAATTACAGCTTGCGCCAACAAGTACGAGTCAGCTCTCTCGTACAACTGGACTAACCTATATTCGCCTTAGACTACCAATTAGTGCTCCCCGGCAGTGACCATTCAGGGTAGCAATGGGCGCAGTCAGGTAGACCCTTACTTTGGGGAAGCTCTCACCCTTGCAATACCTAACCGAGGATTATCTAGGCCATGGGAAGAATTATCTCTATCTTTTTCCTTCTTAGGTTTCTTCATTTTGTCTCCCGTCTTTTAGATGCCGGCAGAGCATCTGAGTTTGTGAGTACTTGGTTGGTGAAAGCAGTTGGCAATTGCGAGTAACTTAGTATCCCAGGTTTTTGCAACTATGAGCTGTCTCCCTAACCTCGGGGTTCTCAAATTCTAGGCTTTCCTTATCCGATAGTAAAAGGCAAGTGCAGGTACAGCTACCAGGGGTTTGAGGGGGTTCGACCCAGAGTACCGCAGTAGATATAACCATGTCCAAAGCCTCTAAAGATATATGTTACATTACATTGCTTATAGTCAACAACAACCCTTTCTTTTTCTCATTTCAGTACAGTACAACAAAAGACCTTAATAGCACGTCTCTGACTTCCCTGACGTTCCATATTGGGCCTAGCTGGGGAAATTCTTGAGGACCGTGGGTGAGTTCATTGGACCTGGTGCACTCCCCTGCTGTTCTTTTGTTGGAAACGACTGGTGCCCGCACTTTGGCGCCCGTCATGTTCCGTGCTATACACAATTGTGCCACCCGGGCCAGAGCAATTTCGGAAGGCAAAGGGCTATTATACCGGTGGAGTACGAGCGGACCAAAGGGGGTTCTTGTGGATGGTTCCAATTTTCACAAACTATTTTGATATCCAGCATTGCATACACGCACAGCACCGTAGCTCGATATATTGCTCCTGCAGTGGGGCTTGTACTCATTCGGATCTTCAGGCCTGCCTGGTATGTGACATTTAATTATTTTATTTTCATTTTTACCTAGTGCTAACAACCCCTTCTTACAAATATCCCGTCGACAAATAGCATGCGGACAGTAAGTAATCCCTCGCAAGACTCACCGCGAGATTGATTATTAGGGAACGGGACCTTAAAAGCTTAACGTATTTGTACTCACGATACCGGTAATTCTTGCCTGCTAGTTGGTATTGTGAATATAATCGGTTATCGGCAACGTTCGACCTTCCATCCCTCCGACCACTCCGTTGGTACGAGGCTGGCAAGGTAGAATTAGGTGCAATGTTATTTTTTGGGGGGGGGGCTGACAGAAGGCTTGCTTTTGGCAGTGGCTGATTAGTAGACTTGCGATGTCTTCTCTAAATTATGTGCTGTGACGGCGGTCTGTCCCTGACCCTTTTAGGAGCACGATACCAGTGTCATATTTCTTACCACTTCTTCGGTAGGTGCTGTACACCACACGATCGGACTTGAATTTCAATCAGGCCATAGCTTGTCGGGATTGAGAGTTAGAAAGTTCAAATTTGGCCCTGTAATAGAGAAGGTCAAGGGCATAGCGGACTCCAGGCTACTGTTGCTATGCCACTTTACCGGTATATTGTTTATCCGAACCCAACCTCCCAACTAGCCGAGAAACAAGGCGCGGTTTGGTTTTAAGGTTAAAGTCAAAGCTCTGAAATGGTGCGCAGCTTGGCATGGCACCGCAAGTGCCTGACCGAATTCTTATTATCTCGTGCGCCCAGAGAGCATGTCGTTCTTGTAGCAAAGTCACCTTCTCCTCTCTAATAGGCAACTCTAGGCGTAGTTGCTGACACCCTCACCCCCGACACTGCACCTATAGGCCCAAAAGGGAACCCTCAACGTTCTTTGTTGCACAAAATGCTCGTAATAGTATATGGAACCCATGCTAGTGAAAAAGGGCAATTGTCCCCGGCTCCACTTCCGATTGTGGAGTAAAGGGTGGATACTCATCACGCTTACAATACCTGTATGATTCCTGAATACCCTTGGTGTGCGGTCTATGGGGGGTGATTTATAAGTTGCAGAACCCTTAGTAACTACAGGGGAGGTTGGGTTTTGTCTTACCTTCGTGTCAAAACTAGCGAAGGTAGTTGCTATTGGCCGGAGATCTGTCCAAGCGATTGTCTTGTCCTCGGTGTTCTACATACTGAATATATACGGGCGATATCAATTGTGGGGCATACTGGTAATAGTAGAATGCCAATTAGGGGAGGTTCTTGTGAATTAATTGTTTATCAAAAAAAAAAACTTCCTGTTTCAATGCCCTGGGCAAATTCTCTGGACTTGAGTTACAAGGAAAAAAGGCAAAAAAATCTGCTGTGCCTGGAGATCTATGGTTTGCTGCAGGAACAGCTACACCAGCTGTGCCCTCCGACTCCCGTTCCACGCTAAAATGCTGAGTCTTAGGAAATCTCCCGTTGTCCAGCTAACCAAAAGAAGTTTGGATTCTCCAGGGGAAAAAACGTCAAAGACGGCATTAGATATATATCGAGTATCTCTGTCGGATAGATGACGAGACCCACCCGAGCGCTCTATCTGACTGTGGAGGCCAATTCATCCCTTCTCTCCCAGGAAAGTAAGATTTCAGAAAATAGTCATAATATTATTGTCATGGTACTTGTCCCCGTGGTCACCCCGAAGTTCCAATATAGGAAGCTGCAGAATCTCAAGATACACAAAGGAAGTGACACCCAGTTAGTAATTGTAGGCTGTGAATCTCATTTCGGGCCTTAATGGATGTTAGTAGCGCATGCAGGCTAACTGAGGTTGATTATTTGGTGGATCCTGACTTACGTGCTGTGAGTTTATTGGCTCACAGGGTAGAGAGATGCTAAAACTACCGAAAGGCTCCATTATTCAGAACACCAATTCTCACCCACAATAAAGTCGATTCAGGAATAACTGGAATAGTTGGACCCCCCTGGGACGTTGGATTGCCTTTGTTAGCAATGTGCAGAAGTTTTTTACTTTTTTTTTCTGGACAGAAGCGAGGGGGTCAATTTTCGCAGTGCGTGCTATTGCCCTCCTATCCAAGACAGGGAACTTTGGACGCATTGGCGCGAGGTCCAGTTATTTCGCCGAATGCAGTAGCCGTAGCTCCGCTGACAGTATCAAATTCTACCAGCCCCGAGCTTAGATTTCAGGTATAAAAACCTCCCTCTCCCCCTCCCATCTTGCTTCCTCACCATCACCAGCTTCTCTGACAATCCACCAAGAGCTTTGATATCCACTTCTTCGACTCATTTCGATCTTCAAGCCATTCTTATCCAAAATGCAGACCAAGGCATTCCTCTCTTCCTTGTTGGTGGCTCTCCTCACTGCCGGTGTTACCGCTACTCCGACTGGTGTTGAGGCCAGAGATATCAAGTCCGAGCACGGTTGGGACGGCACGATCAGTGAATTCTCAAAGTTCGCCAGCTCGGTCGGAGAAACGAAGCCCCGCCCCAAGGGCACCGTCATCACTCCCAAAGAAAACGACGTTCCCGTTGCTGCTACCGGGATGGACGCCAGAGATCTGGTGAGTAGCAAGCTATCTTCTATCAATTGGATTTGAGGGGCAGTGACTAACTTCCACAATAGGAGAGTCTTGAAAAGAGAACCCCTGGATGCGTCTATGTGACCAAGGATAGGTAAGCAATGCCTCGCTCAATATCCCCCTTCCCCTCCCAAAGCTAATGCGATCACTCCAGCAACTTCAATGGAGCAAGTGGATACCTCTGCATTGCCACAAACGGCGGCTGCACCGGCTGGAACAACGACTGGAGATACAGCATCAGCTCTTTCGGCCCCGACCCAGGTATTACTATCTCCTGATCCAAAATTACTCTGATGGGCTCTGCTGATATTCTCTCTCAAGGTACCACCTGCCAAATCTTCACCGACCCCAACTGCAGCGGTACCGCCTCTGTAGCTTTTGGATACCCCGGATACGGAAACCTTGGAACCTGGAACGACAACATGGCGTCTTTCCGCTGCTGGTGGTAGTGTACGAATGCAGTTTTCGGGGACCGATCGAGAAGGCATATGCTAGCATTTGCGCACATGCTGGCAGGATATCTTCGACGTTAGTGTTCACGTGGACATTTTTTGGTTTCTCTAGTTGGAGGCGAGGGGTTCCTGTGTCTTAGGTAGTTGTTTTCATTGCTCTAAAAATTGATTTGGTTTGGCCACCATTCTTAAATTTTTTTCCCATTGTGATATCGAGTCTGTGTGATGAGCCTTCGGATGGGTTTGAAAAATTTGCCACAATTTTCACCTTTCGGGATGTCATATTCCCGGAAATAGTGACGGTGCCGCCAGTTCCAAAGCTTTAACAGATTAGCGGAGGCATTATGAAGAAACACCTTTTTCCTCCTGCAGGGACAGATGCCCTGTAGCCAGTACTCTATTGGCCTTCCCTTCCACCAACGCATTTCCCTTCACGGTATCCGTTCAGGATTAACGGGGGCGTGTGAACAAGGACATGTGACCCGAGAGCGGTCCGACGAAAAGTTTTTCCACGAGTGATTCTCTGTGATCCCCTGCTCTATTAGAATGAGTGATTTCATTACCAGTCCAACTATCGTGACAGTCCAAGCCCCTACAAAGGATGGTAGTTCTGGAGTGCGCACAACTTGGCATTTAGACACTGATGGGTTTTTCCGATCTATCATACTTCATGTTTCATGTGGGGCATCCTATGCGACATAACGCGGGATGACTAATGTCCAGCATTTGACCGACATTGACCCCAAGCCATCATGCCCAGACAACCCACCTCCCCACGGTGCCAGTACTCCTCCGTAGGGTCCTCGGATATAACGTGTTCCACACAACCAAAACAGGAGAGGCACTAGTTTGCGGGCACAGGCACTAGTAGGTGAGCGCAAGTGAGGTTTACCTAGATTTGATGGGGGGTGGTTTGGGGGGTTTAAAACACATGAAAAAGCTAATCTGTCGGCTTCACGATTATCTCCATAGTGATGCGGGGAGGCACTCGATATTACTTTCCAACGGAGGTCAAGGCGCTGCGATTAAAGTAATGGCAAGTTAACACCTGAATCGGAGAGTAGGGAAATGCTTCACCCGGCCAAGTGAGAGAAATGTCAGGCCACGGTTCCGAACCTTAAGACCCATTTGATAGACCCCGTTGACGCTATCCTCGCTAAACATTTCCCATTCATGATTACAATTGGGATTTAGGTTTACCAGCTGCTTCGATGTGAGGTAAAGACCAATAAGCTTGGATCTGCCCAAATCTATCAAGCACTTTCACTCAAGCCAATGCCCAAGCTTTCTCATTCTTAGCTTTTATCCCCTCGGAGGAACCACCAATTGCAATATGGGGGAAGCTACCAAATTTCGCAAATGTTATATGCGAAAGTCTTTCCCCACCCGAACCACTGTTTCCGACTCGCCAATTCCAACCGACTCCCCGGCATGAGTGAAGTAAAGCCAACTCACCCGACCCAAATATTTAGACCTTTCGGAAGCGTCAGTACTTCCCGCAGATCTGGCGTTAGACTCAAGAAGGCAGAGCTCGTGGATGGTACATACTTGATCGGCTCGAGTGAAATAGGGGAGCAGGGACTCGCTCTGGATGAGCTCCCGTCAGGCATTGTCAGCAGCTATTTTTTATCACTCGTTCTCCAGTACTCACGATCGTTGTTCATATTTCATTTCCACTCTCAAATGCTTCATTCAGGATGCTTGTTGGCCTTGTCAGACCTAGCTCTTATTATTATACGCTGGTGCTCCTTATTCTTTTTATCCCGTTCCTCTCGTTACCCTTATGTACTTATCGACTCATCTTTGCTTCCTGCTTTCTTGTCAAGGGTATCATGCCCAAAAAAGCTTTCCTACATATCTATGCTATATCTTTTCTCGTATTTCAGATAACTCGATCATTACCGGCGAATCTGCTTTCTATCGTTACCCTCTCTCATAAGAGCTATTTGAGCACTGCTATCTACAAGGAATTTTCGGGTGAAGTGTGCAGACGGGGGGAACTATAGCAGTTGTAGTAACACTCAGCGGGCAGCTTGAGAGAAAAGTCTGGGCCAAATTATCTTACCGCATCACTCGCAAATCCCATGTGCCTAAATAAAAAACCGCCTCCCGAGCAACGGTTCTTTTCTCGTAACGGTTGTTTCTCCCCTTCAGTGATACAGTACCTTTTCCTATCATCTGCTATATACTTATCCTTATTCACCTTGCTCGTCACTAACTTTTAAATTCTATCTTCATTAATTCTTGGTTTCAGGCATCTTATTCTCACACATACTCTCTCTAGTATCTGCTTGATATTTCAGGACATCTCTTTGTAATAGCCAAGCCAATCAATCAGCATTTATTTTCCTGCTTTGCGCGGACATCTGCACCCCTGCTTGTTCCAATACTTCACCCCTACCCCGAGTATGAGTATAAGCCTTAGCGTTTCCACCCTGACTACCCTGGTACTCGTGGAAGCTGGGTTGGCAAAATATGGATATACAGTCCGGAGTGCCAGTACAGTGTCGCATAACGCACATTGAAACCCATAGGAACATCCCAGTGCAACGGAAGACCATCCCGATTTATAATCAGAAGCGACTCACCGCATAACGATATCGCGGCATCAACTCTAGAGGTAGGCACTTTGCTACTGGGAAAACTGTAAACTGTAATTATCGAGTCTCGTGCAATGTTGTGAGAGTGAATACAAATGGCGGTGGTGCTTACGTACTCTGAGTGCTAACCCAGAGTTGATGAAAGGCTACTCGTAATGGGTAAGTGTATTAGACCACTATTCACTCCTCGGCACTAAATTTATTCACCCACAGGTCGTTCATCCAGTGTCGGCAGTGCTCAGATTAGCTAATAAGTGCGACCACAATTCCAGTGATTTGACATCCACTCTCGGTTAGTGCACAGATTAGGTAAGCGCTGCAACAATTTAATACACTCGCCTAGTAGCCTATCTCCCGCCTTAGGTTAGTTCGAGGTTAAGGTTGCCCGAAAGAGTGATTGGCGATGTTCAAGTTACGACGGTCGCAGCAGAACCTCCCTGGTTGCTCTGACCCTTACGAGTAAGGGAGAGTTGTTATGAAGCTAAGGCAGGGTAATCAGACTGCCGTCGACGCCACCAGTGGATTTGGGGAAAACACTAACGTCGATCACTGAATTCGGGGAGAAAATAATGAAATTGTGAACTACAGGATCCAAGTAAAATGCCAGGAGAGAGCAAAAGGAATACAATCAATACTATAATAAGGAACTGGATGTGAGGTTAGTTAAAGGATAAGATATGGGGAGGGAAAGGTGGAATACAATAATTGAAGATACGCCGAGATTTATTGAGGCTGGGAAGGGCAGGAGCAAAGAGCCATTTGAAGTGGACGATCAGGAAGAAGCTGTGAAGTGTGCTTAGGCTGGAGTCTAGAAGAACCGGTATTCTTTTGCTTTGCTGGGCATTGTAAGCATAGAGGTAAACTCCATTCCATATCACTAATTTCCTGAATCTCGCTACCAGGACCAGAATTCTCCACTCTATCTGTTGAGGTACTTCTGATGGTTTTAAGGGCGCGAATGTTCTTGGAGATTATTTGTTGCACAACTTGGTATGGGATTGTCATTTTGGCAGATAGTAGGGGGTTATTCCATATATGTCAAGGGAGTCTGAACGCCACCTTCTTTGCCGCAGTAGTACCAGTTTCTTTTCTAACTGGGCATCTCACGATTTGATAAGTACTGCTCCATTGAGCACTCGGGCTTCACTAAGCATTCTCTTATCTGTTGTGTTTGTAACAGGGAGTCTATCTGAGAAGATGGATCTCAAGGTTATGACCGCACCAGAGTGTTCTTTCATCAGTGAAGATGGTACACACCTGATGGGTATGTAGTTTGATCCCAACCATGGATTTTGTACATGGAAAGAATTCAGGAAATAGTTAATAACAAGTTTAGGTGCTCATGATGAGCAGGACTGCACTCTAAGCAAGTGGACAAAACTGGAAATCAAGGCTGGATAAGTAGACCAGTACTTAGACTTAGTAATAGATCTAATCATTCAACTAGATTATACAGACCTTACGAGGATCAAGGACAAGATCAGGATGACAATGACATTTGAACTATAGAATGTCTAAGCTCTGAAGATACTCCATTCTACCAACATGTCCAAATATATAGACCTTCAACTGAAGACGAGCCACACTCTGCAAGACAATATTACTTTCTGAAAGACAGTTATCGAGAGCTAAAGTGAGATTCAGGGAAATTATGAGGAGAGGTTTTCAACCTTAAGGAAACAACTAAAATGGAAGGGAAATGGTTCCTGTAATACCAATCCTAAGCACTCCTTATCTTCTGCTAGTATATTACAGAAGAAAGAAAATTCCGAGCACGCTAATGCTCATAAGAATATTCCACCTATGCTGATTAATAAGTGAAAAAATGAGTGGCAGTAAACACAATGTGAAAAGCCATGTCATTTTTGGCAGAAATATTTCTCTACTGACCCAGTTGTTACTTCAGCCAAAGAAGTTAAGTCAACAACCAAGAAGCGAAAGGCTGGCGATACTGAAGTCAATGAAGCATCAAACAACAAAGTCCATTGTATCAAGGCACTATCTTTAAAGATGTTGTTGGAAGTTTAAAGATTATCATATGAGATCATTAAAGTTGATATGGATACAGAAGAATAGGTAAGTTCCTTTCCTGCAAACAAAATAACAAGATACTGACATAACTTCAGGAGGTTATGTGGAGGACAGTGAGAGTAAGCATAATCAAAGAAATCCTAAAGTCGATATAGACTGATAAGTCCTCTTAGATGTTATGTGCCGCAGTGGTCTGTAAAGAAACAAGGCCAGTAGAGGATTTTAAGGCAGATTTGTGGATTCTCTTTTAGTATTGTCTTGATTTATTTCATCTTTGTATTCTTGTTATATTTATGCGGGAATATGTTGTTTCCTTACTTTAATGGAAAACTTTCTTAGTAGTGGAAGCGGATTATTTATTTTTATTTTGTTTGATTCAGTTCATTTTCAGATCAGGCTAGCCTTGATTAGAGAAAGAGAATTTTATTAAGTTTACCTGAGGAGGATTTAGTACCCAAAATCATGCTAGTATAATAGTAAATACTGTTGGGGGAAATTTCTAATTCAGGTCTTTTCTAGTTTGAATAACTTTTGTTGTATCAAGGTGAAGGTTTCTAGGGTT